AGTACCCGCTATGTGAGAAAGAATACTGAGAATGTACGTTTGAAATACCACATTTTATAATCAAAGTCTTTTACATTCCTTTTTATATTCCTTTCCATTCTTGCTGACAACCTTTTATCTTACTTGCAAAGTTTATTTTCCCTTGCATTTTACTTGCACTTTTTACCAGATTTCTACACTTAAACTTATCTCAAACCTCTACCTTTCTCAGTCGAATGTGTTCTTTATTAAAATTAGAATTTTTATCAAAACAACACAAATATTTAGCATATGTCCTAGGATCAAACTGATTGATCCTGCAAGTAACCAAAAATTACTCTTTTTGGAAGATCAGCGGTTGTTTACCAATTTTCACGGTAAACACGGCGGGATGGGCATTTAGATTGTTTTCTGCAGTTGGGTCAGCCATGACAGTCAAGAATTTGGAGTTGCTTTTGTCTTAGGTAAGTGAAAGACGGGGAAGCTTGATTCTCACATACGGTGCCACTGATCGTACCTGGCCAGAATGGACCATCACAGCTTACGTCAAGCAGAAGTTGGAAGTGAGGTGGGGTACTTGTAAGATACTTTGATGCCAAAGTGAGATTCAGAATGATGCAAGCAAGTAAGAGTGAGTAAGAAATGACCAATATTTGACCCTCTCAAGTTAGAGGTTATTTATAGCCCCCAGCGTTGGGCCAAGGTCCCCTCATTAGGCTGGGCAAGCCGGCCCAAAGTGGAGACTGTCAGGTTCTACGTGAGTTGTGGGGACCAACACGTGGTCCCCTACCTGGATGGATTCCTCTGCATGATCAGGAGGATATGGATGCGGTCTTTTCGGGGTCAAGTGGACTCCATGATATTCTGAGGCGTTGATAGTCAGTCCTACGAGGAGGATGCCCGTGGGATACTTTTGCCCGTCACGCAGGATCTCCGCCAGCCATGAGGCCGTATGAGAGGATCGGTCTTGCTCGAGGAGAAGTCTGGAGGATACTCTCGAGGTCCTTTTGCCTGGTGATGCTCCTTCTCGCATCTTCCTGGGTTCATCCCCATGTGACGAAGCAGCGTCCTCTCAAAGAATAAGGGTTATTACTCGATATAGTCGAGAGCAGATCTGATCAGCTGGTCATAAACAGCATAATTAGATTGAACTTCATATGGACTTGGATCAAAAGCAGACCTAATCCAGAACAATATGTTTTTGCTAATGAAAACTAATACAATGGCCAATTGCAACTTGCTACTAATTTTCATAAAATAGACGTGACTTTAGTATTCAATACTTGCTTAGATCTATATATGTGCTTTCAAAACCAATAGTATTGATTTTTCATGTGCAGTTGGAAACTCCAATTATAAATGTCCATACAACAAAACTAACACCTAATCAATTCTATATAAACAATCCAAAACTAACAATATTTACTTCTCTTTCACAATAAATTAAAATAAAAATTAAATCTAACTTTCAAAAAATAAAAATCTATGATTTCAATCCGAGTCGCGAAATCATAGATTTTTATGTTTTTGTTAAGTGCAACTCTTTCTCAAATGAGATTTTCAATCAAATATGACTACAAATTTCCACAAGTATCAAAATCACAACCGCAATTTAAAACCATAATTTAACTTTTATCAACAAAGACTATATATATCATTTTCACAACTTAGATCACTATAAATACAAATAAATGAATAAATCATAAATTTAGAGTTGAGACTTAATCCCAGCAAAATCTCTAACTGTATAACCAACCTTCTCAAACCTCCCTCTCTGATTATTCTCTCTAAACTTCAAATAGTCAGAACAAACAAAAGGCTCATAAACTCTCTCATTTCCATCTCCAACAACTTCCTCAGGTGCCAAAACCACTTTCTCATTCTCAAAACACCAAAAAAAAGCCAAAGAGAATCTCTCCACTGGCTTCTTCAAAACAACTCTATGTTCAGAAGATCTTAACTTATCATTACTCCAAGCTTGCATCATGTCACCTATGTTCACCACTAAGGACCCTTCAGAAGGACTTATATCAATCCATTTTCCTTCTTGTGTTTTCACTTCGAGTCCGCCGATTTCGTCTTGGTATAGGATTGTTATGCAGCTCATGTCTGTGTGCATTCCAAGCCCTTCTGCTTGGTTTTCTGAACCTATGCTTTCTGGTGATGTGTACTTGTTTATTCTTAAGTAGCCTTGACAGTTTTTGAAATGAGAATGGTATAATACATTCTCAAAGCCTTCTCCTAAAGACATTAGTACTAGCTTTAAGATTCTTTCTGATAAGTCTCTCATCTTCATGCAATACTCCTCTAGTGTCTCACTGTTGAAAATATCAAATGGAGAAGCAAATTATTGTATAAGTGTTTATGCATAAGATATTTATACAAAAGATAAACATCTTTTTTTTCTTTCTGAAATCATAGTATTCAGCCTTACGACCGACTAATTTAAGAAGACCAATTATACCGTCTATCTGTTTGGGGCCGTTCACAAATTATTTGTACCTGGCGGGATTCGAACTTAAGACCTTGAGAAAAGTTTACTCTCAGAATCTAAGTCTTCAACACTAAATTAAATGTCTTTGTCGTGTCAGTATCGGTGTCCGACACAGATACGGCTACATATACGTATTTTTTCAGAGGTGTCGGTGCATAGACATGTCATAAGCTCTTTCAATAGATCATAAGTCAATTCAAATAAGCCACATATGAAGTAGAAAAATAGCATGGATTGAAAATTTCAAAGGCCTAAGGTAAAGAGAGAGATAACAACATAGTTCTTTTAACATTACCTGAATTTAGAATTATGAGTTTCAAACAAAACATCCTCAGAACTCTTAGCAGAAACATAGAAATCAGGTCCATCAACTCTAAGACTCTCAAAGAAAGGAGAAGCAATGAAGTGAGGTGTATAAGATTTCAAAGAAGAGAAAGGACCAAGTTTAAGTTTAGTATCACAAGGAAGATTAAAGACAAACTTAGACAAAGAATGAAGCTGGCTACAAAGATCTTTGGAAACTTCATGATTGATTATATGAAAAAATCCCCACTCTTTGCATGCTTTAGAGAGAGTTGTCAAAGAAGAAGATTGAAAAGGTTCAGAAATGTCTATAATAGGAAGATCAACATAGGAGTTTTCCATTTGGAAAAGGTGATATTGGTATTTTGTTACCAAAGTTTTGTGGTATTTAATGTATAAAAGTTTGGTCAAAAGCTTATAGTTGAAGAATGATGAATATAATAAGTAACGGTTTAGAAGTGCCAACAAAGATATGTAGCATAATGAAGCTAAAATAAAACTAACTTGTTAGGTGCTTTTGCATAGAGTCAATTGGTTTTATAAAATGGAGTATGATTGTGGAAGTTAATGATTGGACTAAAGTTAATGATGGTGGGATAAGTGGAGTCTATGACCATGATTTATTTCAAAAAGGGCTTTCTATAGGAAAATAATCAACAAGGGTGGAATTAATATATAGATTATGTTGCTTAAAGTGCATACATTATTTTCCATGTGGAACACCAATTTGGTTTATTAATTATAGGTGAAGTTAATATTGTGAGTTAAATTAGATTTTTCAGTTATTTTGATATCTGAAATTGTTAGAGATATATAGCGCATAACCAATCTATATTATATAAAGATTAGTTCGCGTCATTTCAGATATTTAATTGATTCTTACTCACGAACTATTTTTTACTTAGTTATTGACTTAGATATTGGAGTGATAATCTTACAGATCTATTACTTTTCCACCGTATTAAAAGTCTAATCAATCACACTGGAAATTTGATCCACCGTATTAGAGCTCTATTCTATCACTCCATAGTTATCTCTAATTACCTAAACGGAGAAGATGTTTTATATAGTTCCATTTTCTTTTGACATGTTGCTTGTTTTTAATATATGCATGACAGGCTGGTAATAAGCTACCAAGCATCCCAACCACGATGACTTTGTATATTTATTATATCCCGCTATGCATGGATCACACTTTCTTCTTTAAAAATATGAACAACTATTTGGTCAAAAGCATCTTAATTTCAGATAGTATAAACCATATTCACACTTTTCTCACCTCTTCATTTGTCAAATTCAGATGTGAAAACATTAATCCATTCGCAAGCAACAACATTCCCATGCCTTAAAATAACCCCTTTTATTTAAAGTTAGAACAAAGCTTTATATGAAATGGTCCTAACACATAGATTATTAGCATATAGCGGAATTCGACTTTGAGAGAAAGATACTCTCAAGATCCAAATCTTCACCCTATTTAAAATCAAAGTCAGAACAAAGCTTTATATAGATTGATCCAATACAAAAATTATTAATACCTAGCGTAATTTGACTTTAAAACCTTAAAAAAAAAAAACTCTCAATATCTAAATCTTCACCGACGGTCAACCGTAGAGATATTTTAGTACAAAACTAAAAAATAAAAAGTGACGATTAAAAACATTTTAACTAGCTGCTAAAACAAGTAAACAATGAGACAAAATGATGTGTGAGATTGACCTAAGAATAACTAGGGATTTGTAGGACATCCACAAAAGACACAAAATCTAAGCACTAGATTTTTGCAGTGGGAATATCATGATTGCATAGCATCTCATTTGTATCCAAAAAGGTACTTTGAAAATTTGATTTTGTCACTACTGACTCATTACCTCTTGATTAATCACTTTTGCACCTGCTTAACCAAAGTCTATTTGGGACTAAGTGACAAACCCATTTAAGATTCTCTCAAGTGCTCATCAACTTAAAAGAATATCAAAATAAGTGATTCTTATATATCAAAAATACTATTCTTATTTCTCTTTCTACAAATACTTCCTTAGAAGATTAACCCAAATAGGCTTTTCAAGTTATAATATTCACATGGAGGCCAAACTAAAATGAACATCTCAACAAAACATGTACTAAAATAAAATAAGTGCTTAATGTAAATCAATGAATTTTTATTCTTGGAACCAAAATAGAAGCAAAGAAGGCTCTAATAAGCTTAATATAGAGAAATATTTTAAGGAGTTGTCTTCTTGAACACCATTTGACCTGTGTCATCCACTTCAAACATGCGCCCGACAAATTCATTCCAACCTTCCGATTGTTTCTCGTGAGACAAGGAGCTTTTACCACTAGATCTTCCAGAATCTTCCTCAATGTCAATTTCATGAAATGTTCCATATGAGGAAGGTGAGTATGCTTGAGGAATATCCAAAGCAACTGCTCTCTGAAGGGCTGCGCGATACTCTTGACTGTGTTCACGAGCTAGAGATTTTTGCCTCACCATCTTCTGCTCTGCCGGAATATCCATATGCCGATCTTTCTCTAGCATTAACTGATTCAAGTAATATAATGGTTTAGAAATCCCACATAATAATAAGAATAATAACCAAAGCTCTTCTAATAGTGAAAAAAGTAAATAGCTTACATCGAGCGCCTGTCGGGATTCCCTCTCGATCCAAAGGATGGCATGGTCAGAAGTCGCATTGCAAGAAAGAACTATATGATCAAACCTCCCATCAACAGGTACGGCTGTCCTAACAACCGGTGGAAATCTTCCAAACCTGCAACCAGGAAACTATACTCCAAATTATTGCTGCATACAGATAATATTCAATGCATCGAATTCAATAACTTGCTAAATAAGATTGCTCGGTGAAACTTGGTTAAGATAGCATCAAATACTGTACCTGAAGGGCTTCCGCTCCACAATGTGATAGAGACGACCAGGTGCGTACAGACGCCTTGGGTCTCTAAGCTTCTTCTCCTCCAGCGTGCAAGTATCCTTTAAGCACAAGAGACACAATAAACAAGGCCAACTGCCAAGAAAGTGAAACAACTATTGTAGCTCATAAAGCTGGATTGTACTAATCCACAATGCATAAGCATGAAAGGGTAACAGGGTTCAAAGCTCATTCATCCTAATGGCAAAAGCTGAAATGCAATAATCCAATGCATATGCATGAAAGTTTGAAAAAATTATTTCCTGTTTTAGTATATAATTACAAATTATACCACTTCATTCAACAAATCCCAAAATCTATGAATAAGTTAGGTTGACCGCATTTGCCGAGAAAAAAAATACCATATTTACTGGTTGGAACCAGACGCAAATTCAGGAAAAATGGAACTTAGTTTTTCACAAGAGAAATGTTCAGTTGATATGACAGATAGGTGAATAAAAAATACATAAGAATGTTGAAAAGGCAAGAAGTAGTACTCCTCTATGTAATCAAACTCGGGCATTCCAACCCTTATCTCGGCACAGAACAGCACAACCAAGAAAACCATGTGAGGCCATACCATTTTGGCCACGGAACAGATGGGTGACTCAGATGGAATGACCGCAATAATGAGATTGAATTCGGAATGACACCGCGCTGATATTACCCTTAAATTTTTAAGGATAGCAAGGTTATTTATTTTATTTTATTGGCATTTGGAAGTATTAAGACCTATGGTTTTTATTTCTAAATATGAATACTTCATGAACTTTGATTAATTTATTTTAATTTTAACAATTGTGTTCATTAGTATTGACAATATTAGAGTCTGCGTTGCTAAATTATCGGCCGTTCCGCTCCCCGGTCCTGTTCCATTGTTAGGGATGATTGTGTCGCTATCCAAGATCGATAACATAGGTAGTACTTACTTAAAGAGGATTAGATGTGTTAAGGACAAACCTCGAAATGCTCAACGGTGTTAAACTCAAGCCTGCCTTAAAATCAGAGTAGTCAATAGCGGTGCTATCCCACTACAGCAGAGCGGAGGATGACCACTATGGGGAGAGCCTTAGCGGAGCAAAACACTATAGCGGCTGCTACAGCGTAAATAGTGGATGGTGGAGCAAAGCGGTACCCAGTCGAAGCGGTTTCTAGTCCGCTATCCTTTTCCCCCCTAAAAAACCAAAATTACCCCTTAAATTTTCAACGTATTAAGGATAATTTTGGGATTTTCAATTAAATTTGAGTTGAGACTCGACATTACCTTTCTTAATAGTTGTTTATGCACTTCATGAGTCATGTGTGCTTTGAATTATGAATATTTAATGAGTTGAGTTATTTGTTTAATTTTATATTAAATATATGTTCATAATTATTATATGTAATTTGACCAAAAAATGATCAAATAGAGCGGTAATCCCGCTATACGTTATTCTGCTATCCCACTTTTGGGGTTGGCCACACTGCGGCGCTATCCAGGAATGACTACCCTGCTTAAAATGACTTTTGTCTCTACCTTCACTCCCCTCTCGTGAATCCCTTTTGGATTTAAAGCATGAACAAAGCATAGGCCCATTATATATTGCACTTAAATTTAGTTTAAGCAAGTGCACCGGGTTTCGACAGCATGTCCAAGAGCGAGTTTTCCAACAATTTATCTTAAGTTTGGGCTTAGTAAAGGTTATTGTACATCTCACAAAATAATATCTATATCTTAACCCAAGAAAAAGTTCTTCCATTATCAAACTTCTACATCATGGGAACCGAAGGTATGGGAGAGATCAGGTGTTCAAGAACAGTATTATTATCAATGGCGTCTGGCACATAATCCACCATGCCATGGATTCTCCATGGCGACGGTGTAGCAGACTATGGTTTCTCGCACAGAATCCGCCATGCCATGGATTCTCCACGGTGACAACTGACAATTTAACGGCATTTGTTATTAATACATAGTTTTAACTTTAAAAAAATCATTCCATCACAATGCATGCACACTTCAATCTCTACACAATGTTGGTTCTCTACTAGGATGGGTTAGAAAAATTAATAATCAATGTCTTCAGCATGAACTCATACAATAAAAAATGATTTGAAGCCGTGATAATTATTTTACCATAACAGCGACCTGTAGACGGTTTCCATAGCAGTGGTTGTCCGGGGTAAAAAATCATCCTGCTCAAAAAGAGTAAATCAAGTATAGAATATTAGTATACAACACTAATAAATAGATATGAAATCAGCAAAGATCGCTCTCTTTTATGGATAGGTCTATAAACACAATAAGTCGATAATAGAATAAATGTGACATGAAAGAATAATTGCGATGTAAATTCCAATTCCTAAAAGCATAAGGAAACCATCTAACCTGTAGTACAATAGAATTGATCACATCTGCGTATCTTACAGCCAAATTGAGAGACATGCATCGAGCAGGAGCAATCGCATAGCATTTTATCTTGTTTCTCAGTAACCCCAATTTCTCGCGATTGTGAAGCGCTATCATTGTCAATAACGCCACCACCCCAGCCCCAAGCGAATGTCCAACAAATGTCAGCATATAAGTCGGGTACTCTGCTATTAGCTTCCTCAAAACCTCCCATTCTGCATCAAAGACCCACTCGGCTGCCTTCAATAACCCATTATGAACATAACCCCCATGAAATTCCGTCTGTCCTAGTTTGTTATCAAGCAAAACCACATAATCACTTTCTTTCCCTAAATTAAGTCCACTAACCGCAAGTATAATCTCCCCGCGATCATGATCAACGTATATCATATAAGGAGTAACACACCCTTGGTTATCCCCGTAATCCTTCCGCAAGATTATCCAATCCGGATTAATCCCATAACCCCCTTCCGGAGCCCACTGAGGGTTACGAATATCATCTTCGTAAACAGCTAAGATCACGCGACAAAAACGTGGTATAGGCTCGAACTCTTCCGCAGTAGCCAGACCCCAATTTTCACTCTCATAGCCTGCAGTATACAGACATTTTTTCCAAACCCACCTAGTACAACCCAAACAATAAACACACTCAAGTATAGGAAGCCCACATAAAAATGACATCAATGCCTATGCTTCAATTCAAGCATGTTGACAAAATGTTACAAACAAAAATAACAGTTCACACAAAATAAACTTGCTTCATACATAACCTATGCCACTAGGGTTGTCAAAGTTAAAGCTTAGAAGAAATTCAGCAAAAACTGTAAAAAAAAAATCGAAACTTTAAAGTGAATTAGGTACCCTGGAGAGTTTTGAAAGAGACCCAATCGGTGAAAGTATGGAAATTCAACAAATAGGATAAAAATGGTTACTTGGGAAGGTTGTGAAGTAGAGTTGTTGAATTTGAAAAGTGAGAGTTGCTTAGAAAGGGGAAAAGAGAGAGAGAGAGATTGAGGGTTTGGTAGTGGTGGAAATGGATGAATCTATGGAGAAAGAGGGTTGAGAGTTAGGCGAGACTGCCATACCGGTCAGTCAAACCCATTTTCTCACGGTTGATTGGGTTTGCTTTGGAGAATCTACTCATTCGAATCATTAATATTCCTCTCTATCTTTTTTTTTTTAAGTTTAAATTTATTGATTTCTAGGGATAATTTTGATTAATTATATTACCATGCAATTTTATTAATGATAATTATTAATCAAAAGGGCATGATTCATTTTTCATTTCAACTCTTCTAAAATCATTAATCTAAACACTCTCTCATAAAATCATCAAATTCTTTTATCTGCACCATTTGCACGAAACTGAACTTGAGGATTACAGAAGATTCAAGTTGCACCATTCGCATAAAGTAGAAGACAGAACAAGCACTTGCACCACTTAAAGTTAGGGCGATATTTGTCTATCCGTTTAGATTGATTTTAAGTCAAAAATTCATCCGATTTAAAGATAAGTTTATTTGTAGTTCGGTTCGATCTTAAATGATATGTTAAAAAATTAAATTAAATTTGATCCAATTTTATAAAATTTAATTTGAATCGATTTTTAGATATTCAAATTATAAATTATATTTGTATTAATATTATAAAATTATTTATAAATTATAAATTTGATATAATATATAATATATTAAAAATTAATATTATAAAATGAGAGTGATTAATTTTGATTGAAATAATAAAAATAAATAGATTATATAAAATTAATAAGTATTATTAAAAAATTATTATCATTTAATAATAAATTCATGAAAGATATTATATTAATATAAAAAGTAAATTAGTATAAAAATATATGTATGCGGTTCGATTTGATTTAGATTGATTTTGAAAAATTAATTTAAAAGTTAATTCGAACCGATAGATTTTCACAAAATGACATCTAAATACATCTAATAAATTTTAATTATTTGTGATTTTCAGTTTTTTGAATCAACTTTTGATTATTTGTGATTTTCAGTTTTTTGAATCAATTTTTGATTTTTGATTTGGATTGATGTAGGATTTGAAAAAAAACAATATTAAGATATATAATAAGAAGAAAAAACAAAAACAATATGATTAAAATAAAGCTAGCACAAGACATGCTAGATAGTATATAATAAAATCTCCAGGTCGTAACAACCTCTAATGAGCAATGGTGGAAGACTTCTTCCTCTTAGTTCCATGGCATTGTCCAGTCATTTTTTCAATGTATAAGTCTTGTTGCACAATAGCAAGTTAAGATATGTCAAGAAAAGATACAACATAGATAGAACACAAACTGCCAATAAAGTATTGTATAATTTAAAATGTAACTTATTATACAAATAGATAATAAAAACTACATAGTAAAACATTATACAAATAGTAAATCATTCTACAAATAGATAGAAAATCATTATATAAATTGAAAAAGTAAAGGATTATACAAATAGATAGAATACCAAGAAACATCACCAACAAAAAGTCATCAACATAATTTTTAAATTATATTGTAGTAGTATACAAATACAGTGTCAACAAAGGTATAATTTACAAAAATCATCTATAGAGAAAAATGCAGTCCCAACAAAAAGTCATCAAGACATTTTTTCACTTTGACCTTCATTTCTTTAAGTACTGATCTGATTTAAATTGCTTGACATGTATCATAGGATCATGCTATATATTCAGCTTCACACTATGATGATTCCACCACAGGTTTCTTTTTCGAACATCATGAGATTGAGACACTGAATACTTAAAAGAAATATCTAGATGTGCTTCTTCGGTCTTCCTTATCTCCACACCAATCAGCATCTGAAAAATAATTTAATGTAGCTTCTTTGCTTTCAGAGACTTATCGAAATAGTATTCCACAGTTTATCGATCCTTTAAAGTATCTCAGGATTCTTCTTGCAACCTTCTTGTGTGACACCCTTGGTTCATTCATGTATCTGCTCACTAATCTGATTGTGAAACCTATATCAGGTCGACTGTTGCACATATACCTCAGAGATCCCACAATTTGCTTGAAGAAAGTTACATCAACTTTGTCTTCCTCTTCATTCTTCTCCAACTTCACATTTGGTTCGACAAGTGAGAATGCATGATTCGAATCATCCATTCTGAGTCTCTTGAGTATCTCTTTGACGTACTTCCTTTGATGTAGCATCATACCTTACTTCGACATTTGAAATTTCATGCCTAGGAGATAAGACAATTTTTTCCAAATCAGACATTTCAAATTCCTTCATCATCAGCTCTTTGAACTTTGACAAATTCTCCAAGTTATTTCTAATTATTAGCAAGTCATCGACATATAAGCAGATTGATAAGTGCAAATTGTAGTTATTTTGTATATACTTTTTATTGCACTTATCGACTCTTTGTTGTTAATATCAGTTGAATAATCTAACTTTGTGTATAAATACGTTTAGTTTGTGTATATTGGTGTTTTGTGTATATAGTGTATCAATTAATAGTTTTGTATTCATTTTGTAGGTATTTGTTGCATTATTGGAGCATTGAGGAATAAAGTCCAAATGGAGCTCCAAGATATGCATTTGATCAATAAGGGAATAAGGCAAAAGAGAGAGATCCAAGTGAAGTTGTGCAGAGAAAGCAACAAAAGTTGTTGAATTGGTGTGCATCGTCGGATGATGGTCGAGCGAGGGCCATTGTGTTTGTGTCATCGGGCGACGGTAGAGTGAAAAAGGACCAATTTTCCATTTGGGTCTATCTTGCTTCGTTGTTGTGTCGCCAGGCGAGGAATAAAGGTGTCGTCGGGTGACGTGAGTCTGTCGCCGGGAGAAAGAATATATTTGTGGTTAGTTGCCTACGTGGTGCAACCTGAGCCAAGTGTATAAGAGTTGTCATCGAGCCACGTGTATTGTATCATCGTGCGATGGTCGCGGAACATATTTTTCTTTATACTTTCATTTTGTTTCATTTGTTTGGTTATGGTTTTGGGGGTGGTTTTTGTTCTCCCAAATCCACCAACCATATTTTTGTACTGGATTAGCTTATATAACAACTATGGAGCTTGCTCACGAATGATCTGGGGTGGATTTCTCTTCGATCGGCTCGGAAAATCCGAAAGATTTGCGGTTCATTTCTCTTCTTCTTTGTGTTTTCTCTTTTGGTTGGGTTTGTATATGTGCTTACTTTGATCTCATGTATATTTGTCGCCCATGGCGTTATATTTAATTTTCTGTACAAATCTTTGTGGATTGTTATCCTTGATTTTTGCTCTGTGCTAGGGATTTGGGTTGTTATAGACATATACTGCTCGAATTATTATCTAGGATGATTGTCTAATAGTGTATAGATTCTAGAAATAGATTTAATGTTGTTATTCACTTAGGGTGTTTGTGATTAATACCTCTGTGTTGGTTGTGTTGGCTGAGAGATTGTTAACACGAGTGATACGATTGACTATTGTGTTGTTGAGGTGGTTGAGAGATTGCTACCGAGGTGATACAGTGGGTGTTGTGTTTGACATGTGATGACATTGATGAGTATCGTAGGTTGAGTATAACTGGTCGATAGGTTTAAGTTTGCGAGGAGTAGATTATATGCAATGCTTGATAAGTTTCTCCTATGAAGAATGCATTTATTTTCTTGTCAATAGTTTTTACCCCTTCTTTACAAACAACCCATTTTCCCCCAAAACTCATTAACGAATGATTTGTCGAACAGAGAATCAATACCAATCTCTATGAACACGATACAATATAACCTATATCACCCGGTAAAATTAATACTTTACTCTTTGCTAGCCGTTTTACCACTCCAGCAAAATGGCGTCTTTGTCGGAGATTATTTTATTGTTTCGTATCGCGATAATTCCTTTATTTTTGAGTTTTGTAATTAATGTATATGTTGTATAGAAATTGTGCATGAATTTGTTTATGTTTACTTGTGAATTTATTTGTTTATGTTTACCACACTTGTACATGTTTTTTATACTTGTGAATTTGTTATATTGTTGTTTGTTTCTTTTCACGTTTGCTTGGGTGTTGGTTGAAAATAAGCAGATGGAAGCAACTTGGAGGAATGTTCTTAAATAACATGCGTTGAGCTTAGAACGTAAAACAAGCATGCTTTATTGTTTTTCATTTTGTTAGTTTAAGTAATTGAATGCAATTGTCTAAACAAATTTAACTCGGACTAGTTCTTAAATCTCATATCTTCACTTTTAAATTTATTTAGACAATTTTATTCGGTCTTTTAGTATGTGTATATTATTTGTGTTCATTTTTTTGTTTGTCTTTGAGCTTGTTGTGAATAGCTTGAGGATATTGAGGTGATTTGTTAAGTTTGATCTTTTTGACTTGCGAATACGTGGTAATGATTTTGTTAAGTTTTTGTACACGTTCGAGGTATGTGTTTATCGCTTTCTATACTTTAGCATATTCGTGATAATTAGACTTTTTATGATTTTTATGTCATTCATTCTTCTGTATACTTATTCATTTGTGAATCACTTTAGTTCCTACCCTTTTTGTAAGGTATATTTTCAGTGTTCACATATGCTGGAGACCACAATTTTTGTTTTAACTAGATTTTATTATGCATAATCTTTTGCTTGTGTTGATTGTATGAATGTATGAAAGGGATCTAGGCATTTTGTTTCCTTTTGAGCATAACTACCTAGC